TGGTGCAGTTGATCCCTCTACATCGCTCTGTTGCGCGATCGACGCTATTGCCAAGGCGCTTCCTTTGTCCGGGCGATCAGGTGCGCCCTGGGGCGACTCGTCCTCAGACCCCCAGACAATCGTAACAAAACTGTGCGCTCAACTGACGTGACTGTAAAATATCAACCGTGAATGCCCATACTTTTTTCCTTGCTTCGGCCACTTGTAAGTGATTGCACAGGGTTGACCGAGTATTTTACTCGTGTTTTCATCATCAGGAATCTCCGCAGGGTATCAACCCTGCATAGTCTCCCTTTGTCGTCACGCAACGCTTCAACCCCTGTGGAAAGTTACTAGCGTCAGTGGAAGCGTTGTGTGACCAACTATGTAACAGCTGCGAAGGAGTCTAGCTAAGGGTGCGTTCCCTTGGGGTAATCTGGATCAGGATCAATCATCTTTGATCACTCGAATCATGGTGCATCAAAGGAGCCGATGAATTCGAGACCAGAATGGATTCATCGGTTTCTTTGATTGGCCATATATGATCTGAGTAATCTTGGATCACTGATCTTGACCCATATTACTCTAGAGGGTCGAACCCAAAAGTCTGCATCTCCGAAACGTATATCGCGATTTGCAAAATTTGTTTTACGAGGGAAGTTGCAATTGCTTGTAAAGTGTAATTTGTGATAAGACATTTGTTGGTCTTCCCATAGGTCAGGAGATTCTCGGATTAACTATGTTTGCCAGGCGTGCGTTTGGAAAGACACTATTCGCAAGTAGACGCAGGTAGAAAACTTGGGTCTACTTGCGACTCCGTTTGGCCAGAACTCACGCGCACTTACGCTGACTTGCGATCACTTTGGTCGAGATCAAATTTGCACGTAATTCGACNAATATCAACCGTGAATGCCCATACTTTTTTCCTTGCTTCGGCCACTTGTAAGTGATTGCACAGGGTTGACCGAGTATTTTACTCGTGTTTTCATCATCAGGAATCTCCGCAGGGTATCAAGCCTGCATAGTCTCCCTTTGTCGTCACGCAACGCTTCACCCCTGTGGAAAGTTCCTAGCGTTAGTAGAAGCGTTATGTGACCAACTATGTAACAGCTGCGAAGGAGTCTAGCTAAGGGTGCGTTCCTTTGGGGTAATCTGAATCAGAATCAATCATCTTTGATCACTCGGATAATGGTGCATCAAAGGAGCCAATGAATTCGAGACCAGAATGGATTCATCGGTTCCTTTGATTGGCCATATATGATCTGAGTAATCTTGGATCACCGATCTTGACCCAGATTACTCTAGAGGGTCCAACCCAAAAGTCTGCATCTCCGAAACGTAGATCGCGATTTGCAAAATTTGTTTTACGAGGGAAGTTGCAATTGCTTGTAAAGGGCAATTTGTGATAAGACATTGTTGGTCTTCCCATAGGTCAGGAGATTCTCGGATTAACTATGTTTGCCAGGCGTGCATTTCGAAAGACATTATTCGCAAGTAGATGCTAGTAGAAAACTTGGGTCTACTTGCGACTCCGTTTGGCCAGACCTTACGCACACTTACACTGACTTGCGATCACGAGACCTCGAGATCGAATTTGCACGTAATTCGACGCAAGTATACAGTAAATGAACCAACATTAACTCTATCAACAGAACGAGTGACAACACATGGAGTAAAGAAAAATGGTCTGATAAGGCGAAAAAGTCAAAGAAAAGGCATTATAACAGTGTAGTTACCCCAATAAATGTCAATTTCGTGGTTTAAGTCTACTTGTTTTGTTTTGCGCGCGAACAGCAACAGATACGATGTGTCAGCGAAAAGTCAAGAAAATGCGCTTTATTTTTTCTAACATGACGCAACTGCGGACATAAATGCTCATCTCCATATCCAGTGATTGAAATAACACTTCTTTCAATTTTCGGTGCCTCCTCATTTCTCGGAAACCAAGTGTATTCACAGTTGGAGAGAGATCAACATAATCAAAGCTGCACGTCTGACACGCAGCCCAAGGGCAAATATTTTGACCTGGATATGCTCAAGCGAACGAAGATAGCAATCACCTACACAATTTCTGGCGTTACTAAGCTTCTTAGATTTCTTTGTACGGGTATAGAAGTGACGCGAATAAAAATAGCCGTGGTTCTTACAACAGGAAAAGGCGCGCATTTAAGAAAACGCACTACAACCGCGAGGCTGTTGCGGTTATTAGTCGACGTGGGCAGCCACCCAATATCAACAAAAATCTGCTTATGAAAGTAATTTCTGGCCGTTTTCGTCTACACAAACAAGTAGCTCTGACGCAATTGGCGCCGACAAAGTTCATACGTGGGCGCGCTTCGAATCCAGGTCATATGCACCTTAGAAATTCACACTCTGTAAGAAAGATAGGCATAAATAAAGGCGCACTTCCAACAAGCCACGCAAGGGCAAATATTTCACTTCTGATACGCTAAGGTAAATAACTGTTTCGATCAGCTATACGTTTTCGTATCTTGGGTTTCCCTGTGTTCGTCAGGAAGCGATGCTAGTTAAAAAATGAAAACAACCAACAGGGACAGGCGCGCGCGAGAAGGGACGCGTGGACCCTTTTNATGTCCTTTTCTACTGATAATTTAAATCGTTGTCATCAAACATTCAGCAAAAGTAATGTCATCACCTGGAAAAATATCTAAAGAAAACTTTAAATACGCTAACATAAAGCTAAAATTAAAGACTAATTAATGTAAATACAGTACTCTACAAATCTGGAACATTTTAAATTGATTATTGATAGCAATTTAATTTTAAACATCAAGGTAGGAAAGGTATCAAATGAATAGTTTCTATACATTGTCTGATTTCATGCTTGCACCCAATATGATAACAAAAGTAAAATTAATATTTATTACAATATTCTCAGTTCTCACCTTGACTTCAGAGTTTTCAACAGATCTCCCTCCTCCAAATTAACCAATATTTCTAAAATTTAACTTAAAAAGACAAACAATGTTATAAATTTGAACTCAACCTATAAGGAAATCCACAACTGACTTTTTTATTAAATTATTATTGAAATAACTCAGTAAACTTATATTTCTTGTTTCTCAGTCATCCCATTTTAACGCTACAGCAGTTCCGTACCTAGATACATAGAACTCACTTATATAAACTTAATGCTGCGCTATGTACCACTGTGAAAAGTATGGTTTTCAGGCAGTTTAGTCTGGGACAGGGTGTAGAAAATCAGACACTTTTGATCCAGAATAGGTTATAATTTATCAGAATAGTGGCCATTGTATAAACAATTTAGTCTAGAACTGGTTCATTATACCCGGTTCATTATATCCGGTTCTATTAATAATAGAAATTAAAACTTGGAAGTGACTTTGTAAGATATTGGTTTAGTTAGCATATGCTGGACTATGACTGTAATTCGGTTTCTGCATAGAAAATAGTCATTCTGGGATAGGGTAGGGGTTTTTGGTGCCTAGTCTAGAATAGTATTCCAGATTCAAGTTAATCATGTCTAGCATAGCAGGGGTTTCATCTAAAGGGCCGGGCGCCATGCAAATTGAACAGCTTTGAGGACAGTTTACCCAGCTGGTTTAACCATCTAGTGGGAAGTTTTTCTTACAAAGAAGTTCAGTTCTAATAGTTTTGCACGCCTGTGAAAACCTGTTGCCTTTCTGCTGAAATCGTTAATGAAACCCCTAGTATAGGGTAAGGGTTTCAGTGTCCCAATGGCACAACCCTACCCTGGAAAGATTTACAGAGTACCTCCCCCCCCTCGGAGTTGTGGCCTTCTCAGAAGAACCCACACATTTCAAATTGTTTGGTCAATGCTATTTTGTAACTTAAACTTGGAAGCAAACTTAACCTTCAGCTTGCTTATTGCTGGTTATAATGTTACTGACCAGATCACACTCTGACCATGATGGACTACTGGACAGGGAATCGGTGGACTGAAAAACTTAGACAAGCAAAAAGGCTCAGTAGGGTGACTTGAGTCAAAATAATAATGTTGTTAATGATGCAAGGTTGATCGATATCATTTTCCCCTGCTCTCAAAATTGTCAAATACATGCAGATGTTACAGTGTAAGGTGAATCCCACTATTTCAAACTTTCAGGAGAAAAAAAATAGTTCAAAGTAAGTGATAGGTTATTTCCGAGGGAAATAGTTTTAAGTTAAAAAAAAAGGAAATTCAACATAACCAGGTTCAAATCAGCAGGGTCTAGCCCTATGAACGAATCATGTATCCTAGAGGGTTTAGTGTACAGTGAGGTACATAGCTAAATTTGATTGCGATATATGGGTTAATGACCAAGCATGAGGTCAAGGTGACTGGATATTCACCAAGTTCTTTGTTTGCATGTTTACGGACTGAGACAGGGTCGAGGTCCATAAACTTACAGAAAAAGAATGAGACTGATATCCAGCCATCTTGACGGAACAAGCTTGGTCAATAAAGGATTTATTACATAGCTTTTAAGGAGACTTTTTTCTTTTGGGAAACATTGGGCAGGCTAGATAGCTCCATCTTGCCTGCTCAGGTAGCCATTCACAGCACAGGATTTTGTTCATCTTAACCGATTGTGGAGCTAGCCATATAACAAGACAAACTTTACTAACATAGATCTAGCAAACTCAAAATATTCTGGTCGCATTTCATTATTGTTAGGGGTTCGCTGATCCTCAACCATCTGCCGAGTTTCCCATCATACTCTTCTCTGAACTGAATTACAACAATGGCTCTGATAATGCCAACCAGTACTACACAAGTCTCAAAGAAGGCGAATTCCATGTCTGGGGCAGAACAATAACTGATCAGAAAAGAGAATTCCTGTACAGATCACTGANCCCCAGGAAATTCCAATTTATTCTGTGTGGGAAGTAGGGATATTTTCTGGAACTGCACAATAGGCTTTATTACTGGCCGCTGTTTGGGAAAGGAGCCTGGCTACTAGACTGGACTTAAGAGACTGGCCTATGAGCCAAAAATCAGAGATACGAGCAGCTTATTATTATTCCTGACCTTGACAGCTAAAAGTAGAGGTGTTTTGTCATGAACACCTCAGTGAGATCAGAGTCCTTGATTTATACCCGTAACCAAGACGACAAGCATCCGCGACCTTTTCATAAGGGAGTCCCCCCTCGCATGAGTACCAGACATGTGCTTTGAACCACTTTGTCTCAGAATGAAACTTGTATGTGCATGAAATCAGATTCAGTAAGGAGGTGCAAAACGAAATATTGCTGCAAATAACAAAATGAAACTGGTGCCAGTATGAAATCTGATTACACTCCATAGGAGTACCCTGGAAGGCAGAGAGATTTTTCTTTTGTGCTGTGAGATCGACATTGACCAGAGGCCAACACTATGACCCGATAAGTTGTAAGACAGCTTACCATCAATTAAGTCCTGGCTGAAATCAGAAATCGAGCAAGAAAAGCAGTCAGTTGTAAAACACAGACTGCAGACTGCACACCGGGGTAAAAGGCACACTGTATACTATAGACTTTTTAACTAAATTGTGTTACCATTTTCATCACTGAGAGCTAACCGTAAACAGGCTAACTGGAGCATTATTTAGGCTTACCCGAGTGATATTCAGTCTAACCGAAGTGCAGACTTTCATTGCGGTTAGCCTGAATAACCCTGTTTACGGTTAGCACTTGATAATAAACAATTATTGGATGAAGTTTTTGTGATGTCCAGAATAATCGAGGTTGAGGTAGGGGTTATCAGCCAAAGCCGAAGGTTGAGGCTGATAACCCTTACCGAGACCTCGATTATTCTGGATATCACAAAAACCGAATCTAATAATAATTATTGTTTTATTATACATGAATGGAAAAAAATGAAAGTCATGTTTTTGCTTCTTCACTGACGGCAAGCAGCACAAAGCGTGCGAACTTCACATGATCATGCATTGCGGTCATACATGACATGATTACCCGTGACCTTGAGTGTCCTTGACATGATTATTGTATAATCTGCAGTTGTGACGTCACGGGCGCTGATTTCGAAAATTCACCATACGCTTTCGGCCAATCCAAAGAGAGATAGTGAGTTCAATGTATAATAATGGAAATAATCCAATATATACTCAAAAGGTCTGTGGTCTGCTATCTGCATTTTACCCCTCAGTCTGCATTTTACCCCCGGTCTGCAGTCTACAGTCCGCAGTCTGTGTTCTACACTGACCAGCAAGAATAGCCTCCGGCAGCCAGGGTATTACAAAGGGGAGACCACTTCAAACCATGAGATAATAGTCACTGGGGTAGGCTCAATAATACTTTATTACCAATTTGTAAAAGTCATTTCGCTGAATTGAGACCATGAAATCATTTGATAAGAACAGCAATGTGGCCGATCAAATGACCAGTTAGCGAAAGCCTAGATTTCTTGGTCTTCCTATAGCCCCTTACCATCAAATTCTCGTAACCATCCCAAATAACGAATAAGAAAACCTGTAAGGAGAACTGGTATTTTCATCCTTAGGATCGAGTGCTCTGTGAGACATAAAAGACGTTTTAGTGATAACAAAACAAGCTTTGTTCAGTTTTGTGTCTGCAGTCGTATTAACCCAATCATTTAACTTTCATCCTCAGGGTTTTCCCATTAAAGCGCCACGTGAGGACAATGGTCAAAGCAAACGAAGAAATGAAGAAAAGGTCACCAGTTTGAGCGAGGCGGACAATTTCTGTAGCATGTTTTTGTAGATTTTGTTTGTATAATAGAGTGTAAATTGCACCAATATTAAAAAGACATTGCTTTCCTTCATGTTGTGAAATTAAGCTTATAATCGTAAATCGTATTGAGTTTGTTGTCCTAAACGCGTCAAGAGTATTTGTGTAGTTTGTGGATCACGTCTTGCAGATTTGCTTAGCTTGCTATCAATATCTTTAACAGATAATTCTTTGCCCTGATAATGTAGAACAAGAACGTTTGAAATACATACCCTTTTAGCTCACTTGGTGCAGTTAATCTCTCTACATCGCTCTGTTGCGCGATCGACGCTAATGCAAAGTTAACGCGCTACCCTTGTCCGGGCGACCAGGTGCGCCCTGGGGCGACTTGTCCCCAGACCCCCAGACAATCGCAACAAAATTGTGCGCTCAACTGACGTGACTGTAAAATATTAGCCATGAACGCCCATACTTTTTTGGTCGCTTCGGCCACTTGTAAGTGATTGTACAGGGTGGGCCGAGTATTTTACTCGTGTTTTCATCATCAGGAATTTCCGCAGGGCATCAACCCTGCATAGTCTCCCGTTTGTCGTCACGCAACGCTTCACCCCCTGTGGAAAGTTAGTAGCGTTTATAGTAGAAGCGTTGTGTGACCAACTATGTAACAGCTGCGAAGGAGTCTAGGTAAGGGTGCGTTCCTTTGGGGTAATCTGGATCAGGATCAGTGATCCTAGATCGCTCGGATCATGGTGCATCAAAGGAGCCGATGAATTCGTGACCAGAATGGATTCATCGGTTCCTTTGATTGGCCATATATGATCTGAGTAATCTTGGATCACCGATCTTGACCCAGATTACTCTAGAGGGTCCAACCCAAAAGTCTGCATCTCCGAAACGTAGATCGCGATTTGCAAAATTTGTTTTACGAGGGAAGTTGCAATTGCTTGTAAAGGGCAATTTGTGATAAGACATTGTTGGTCTTCCCATAGGTCAGGAGATTCTCGGATTAACTATGTTTGCCAGGCGTGCATTTCGAAAGACATTATTCGCAAGTAGATGCTAGTAGAAAACTTGGGTCTACTTGCGACTCCGTTTGGCCAGACCTTACGCACACTTACACTGACTTGCGATCACGAGACCTCGAGATCGAATTTGCACGTAATTCGACGCAAGTATACAGTAAATGAACCAACATTAACTCTATCAACAGAACGAGTGACAACACATGGAGTAAAGAAAAATGGTCTGATAAGGCGAAAAAGTCAAAGAAAAGGCATTATAACAGTGTAGTTACCCCAATAAATGTCAATTTCGTGGTTTAAGTCTACTTGTTTTGTTTTGCGCGCGAACAGCAACAGATACGATGTGTCAGCGAAAAGTCAAGAAAATGCGCTTTATTTTTTCTAACATGACGCAACTGCGGACATAAATGCTCATCTCCATATCCAGTGATTGAAATAACACTTCTTTCAATTTTCGGTGCCTCCTCATTTCTCGGAAACCAAGTGTATTCACAGTTGGAGAGAGATCAACATAATCAAAGCTGCACGTCTGACACGCAGCCCAAGGGCAAATATTTTGACCTGGATATGCTCAAGCGAACGAAGATAGCAATCACCTACACAATTTCTGGCGTTACTAAGCTTCTTAGATTTCTTTGTACGGGTATAGAAGTGACGCGAATAAAAATAGCCGTGGTTCTTACAACAGGAAAAGGCGCGCATTTAAGAAAACGCACTACAACCGCGAGGCTGTTGCGGTTATTAGTCGACGTGGGCAGCCACCCAATATCAACAAAAATCTGCTTATGAAAGTAATTTCTGGCCGTTTTCGTCTACACAAACAAGTAGCTCTGACGCAATTGGCGCCGACAAAGTTCATACGTGGGCGCGCTTCGAATCCAGGTCATATGCACCTTAGAAATTCACACTCTGTAAGAAAGATAGGCATAAATAAAGGCGCACTTCCAACAAGCCACGCAAGGGCAAATATTTCACTTCTGATACGCTAAGGTAAATAACTGTTTCGATCAGCTATACGTTTTCGTATCTTGGGTTTCCCTGTGTTCGTCAGGAAGCGATGCTAGTTAAAAAATGAAAACAACCAACAGGGACAGGCGCGCGCGAGAAGGGACGCGTGGACCCTTTTATGATGGAACGGATTTTATTCGTCTAGGTCTACTCACAAAACAACCACATACGAGTAGTGCACTCTCAAAACAGCTTTCAAGCCACAACATTCCTGCTCTACTGCAAAAGTCTAATTCATTTGTATTCACTTTGTACGCTCAAGGTCAAAAATTGCATACCATCACTTGTAAGGCTTAGAAAAAGGACCAATTGCTGTCAAAATGGAATTACCCTACACTTTCTAATCAGGATATAATGCGCCGTCGACAAGTCGTAAATGAGTATAGACTTCGGACACATTAGTCTGTTCAAAATCGGTTCTCTCCTTTCTTCCTGCTCCGCCCACTGGACTTGAATTATTCCATTCAAGAGTACAGGGAAAGATCAGAGATTTGATAATCCACACACAAGAAAATAGAGCTTGCTGCAAAGACAAAAAGGAGTTTTAAACGAGAAGCAACTCACAAGAAATCAAATTCAAACCAGGAAGAAACGAATGTGGAGCTAAAATATTCGTTCGCGTCGAAGAGACTGAAATTAACTGCGAGGAAATACATAAACAAACGCACAGCCAGCAGTCGCACGAGAATGAAACGTGCGCGCGAGAGGGCGCGTGAATCTATTAAAAGCACACCCACGACTAACACACGCACGCCAGTGAGAAAAACAACGCAACCTTTCCGTAGCACTGTAGCGAGAAAGAAATAAAGGTCATGTTTTGTGCCTAGAAAATTGTGCATACGTAATATTTCAAATATAATTATTGGCTTACGTTTATAATCTCGATGGTTTTAGAACTTGATGACTTCACGTGAAAATGATCTTAGGACGATCCGTTCAAAATCGGTTCTCTCCCATCCTCCTGCTCCGCCCACTGAGCTAAAAGATACATTCCATGACGTCGGTGTCCCAAAGACCTAATTTGAATAAATGTTTGTTTATCGAAGCAGATTTCCAGAATAAAATTGGTCACGCGAAAACAACCATTCGCTATAAAAGACGGAAACATCTATCTAAACGATCTGACGAAAAATGGCACTTTTTGGTCCACACGATCCTACAAACGACTTTTTTGAAGAGGTGCGTCTTGGAAGGCGATTTCCTCTGTGCTGTTCCAATGTCATGTTACGGTATGACTCAAGCACTGGAGGTTGGTGTTAATACCACAATTTCGCTTTGCAGAAAATTTCAAATTCATTTAGATTTGAGTTGAATTCTGTTAGATTTCACGGCCCTGAATGGACGAATTATCCGAAAAACGCCACAACGAACACAAAAGAACACAGCAACTGCACTAACGGTCAAGGCTAAGGGAGGATGCGAATTCCACATCAGGCGAAATCCAGGAGGAGGTTTGTATGGATGATCACATTACGTATAATTAACTTTCCTTTCTGTTCGAACACGGCCATGGTTTCTTTTCAAAGGGAGTTTCAACAAATACGACTGAGACGGCGAGTACCGCGTGAATTAAAACATGATATTTTAACAAAAAATTGCCGCATTATCTACAGTTATTCAATTTAACAGCCGCATGTGGAGCCATCTGTCAAATGAATATCGAATTGCAGCATTTAATTCTAAACAGAAAAATTAAGTCTTCGCCATGTGGTTGCCGTTCTCGCCTTCGTACCACAGAATTTTATCACTTCAAGTTCTTTTGTAGAGACGGTAAAGAAATGTACCAGGATAAATAACGCACGAGTACAGACACTGCTCTTTTCATGGAACCTTTCTAGCGATGCTCTTATTGGCGTTACGCCTATGGTTCGCTTAAGCTTCCCCCACGACAATATCTTCTAGTCGACAATTTTCTTTATTCTCTTGGCGTGCTTGTTTGGCAGAGTGTTTCTATTGTATCGAGAATTGAGACGTTAAGTGAATCAAATCACTTCCACGTCAAAAAATACTTCTTACTCTTCACAACAGGATACCGAGTCGACAATTGTTGCACTTGGATAAAAGTTGAGACAATGTACAAGATTTCAAAGTACTAAGGTAAGGAAGTGAAACATCTCTCTCATCCAAATTGTACTTTACGAGATTTAAGAGAATGTCTGTAAATAGATCCATGTTTATCTCTAAAATGGCTCGAATTTGTCGATTTACCTCTTATAATTTTCTTTTTTTGTGATTTTGATTGCAGAATGTTATGGAAAGCTTGGATGTCTGCAGACTGCTCAGGCACCATTCTATAGTGTTAAGTCAATAAAGTACACATATATGTGCTAAAAAATACACATGTAGGTGTAATTTTTTAAGAAGATTTACAGTCTGAAAATGCATCCTTCGCATGACCAAGTTTTACTCGCTAACAGACTGAAAATATACAGTCTACTTGTGCGTTAAATGGCCCGTGTAAATATTTTGGGCAAGTTTCGCGCGAGCATATAGAAGCGCGCGGGTCAAAATGCGGTATAAAATTTGACAGGCGAGCCATCAGCTTTTATGCGCACAACTTTCGGCACCTCTGCATTAGCAAATTATTTGCTTTGCGCGAACTACAACACATATTCCGGCAACAGCGAAGGGCAACAAATCAGCAAGGACTCGAGAAAATGCGCTATTTTTCAAAACATGAGGAAGTTGCGGACATAAATGCTCAGCTCCATGTGCAGTGATCAAATTAACACTGCTTTGAATCTTCAATCCCTCCTTCTTGCTTTGTGCGGAAACTAATTGTAATCGCAGTTAGAGAGAGATCACATAATTAAAGCCGCGCGTCTGCCAAGCAGCCCGAGGGCAAATATTTTGATATACTCGCATAACTAGATGAACATGACAATCAGCTCCACTATTTCTGCGTTACTAAGATTCTTAGATTTCTTTGTACGCGCTTTAAAGTGACGCGAATAAAAAATAGCTGTGTACATGTAAAAGGAAAAGGCGCGAGACGAAAAAGACGCCCTAAACGCGCGAAATTTTTGCGGTTATCAACAAAGATCTACTCACAAAGGTTTTTTCTGGCCGCTTTTGTCTGCGCAAACACGTCATTGGCGTCGATAAACCTAATAGGTGGGCGCACTTCTAATCCATGTCATATGTAACTTAGAAAAACCTCTTATCCATACCGCTCAAGAAGTTTCATATTTCGCAGACTTGCCGCCACATTCGTCTTCAAAAGCTGAACATTAACGAGCCGAAGAACAATTTTGTTGAAATGATCAGAATTTGGGAGCACCATTACAGTGTCAATCCTGTGGCAATCATAATTTATGCCTGAAGTGGAGGTAATGCTGCTGAATTTACCTTGTTCGTGCACCTTACCAAAATTTTTCCACCAGATAGCATTTACTTGTACCTGTTACAGCAATTGAAGTCCAGTTAGGACGAAAGATTTCGGGAAATAGGGATCGCTTCAAGCTCGTAACATCAGACGCAGAAATCGTTGAAATTCAGCGAAAGCGTGAAACAGGTAAAGACTTCTTAGTTGATTCACCAAATGATCAATTTTAACATTAAGTTAGCAAGGCTATGCTACAAGAAACATGTTTTCTTTTAAGGTTACGAGATTATCAAAGGAGGACACGTTCTCACAAAGAAAAGAATATATTATGAGTGAGGTAAGAAATATACCATGCATTTATCGAGCGCACTTTAATTATCGATTTCACTGGATCAAAACCAGTGTCCATGTTGAAGAAAACCTCTTGTCTCCTAAAATGAAATCAGAAAAGGTCTTTCAACTCCAACCAACACAGGCGCACTGAAAATACAACCTACTCTTGAATACTGTTGTTCGAATTAGTCTGTAGAATTCAACACCAAAATAATACAAAAAGAACATCCATGTTTGCATTGTGAGGTGCCCAGTTACAGCCTTAGTAAAATGTCTTCTGCTGGTTTGTTAGGACGCATAATCAAAGAATAACATTAGCTCTTTATGAGTTATCTATCCAGTGAAACTAACAGATTTGCGCGCGTATCCAAGTTTCAGTAAGCCGAGCTTTGTTCCTGTTATGCAGTCATTTGTAAACGTCATGTTGTCAAAGGCTTGACAAAAGTTCAATTTCCTCGACAGCTTCGACAGCACGTTGACGAGATTGACCGCGAAAGGAAGACGCCTTAGCAAAAGGATTCAATGATGATGTGACTGATCGATAAATAAAATCAGTGAAATATCAACTTTGTGTAATTGTTTTGTGTGAAATGGCTCGTCATTTGTGCGCGCAAAGTATAGCGTATTTCACAGCCTTTGGGACATAACAAAACTTAAGATGAAAACACGAATCTCGCGCGTAGAAAGATGTCATGCAATGTGCCAAGCGTCTAGAAACATCGATTGAAACCCACGAGGTGCTAATGATCCGAATCTATTTTCCCTCTACCTCTAACCCTCCCATTTATAATTGCACTAACCATATTCAATATGCGACAAGCAAAGCCAAAGGGCAAATACTTCAACTTTCTCAGGAAAAAAATATACAGGACTGCTAAGTTCGACAAATATTAGAAACAGGTTTAGAGCCATGCAACCGACGATGACGCAAAGCTTCGATTCTATTTGACAGGTTCAAAAGAAAGAAATCACTAACGAGCGTTTGCACGCTACCGCGCGCATATGGGAGACGCGTTTTCACGCGCGCGCGTGTGAGAGAACGTGCTGGTTGACAGAGACTACTAAAATTAGATTATTCTGGTGCTGCCGTCATTAAGGTATTAGCATAATTTGCGCGCATGGTCGGTTTATCACTCGCCGATTCAAGCACGTTGTTCTGAGCAAGAGTGAGGGCAGTTTCCACTTAAAGATTACAATTTCAGTTTCGAATCAAACCCAATATGGCCCAGCCGGGAGATCCTGTAAATGATTTTATCGAATTCGTTCAAGTATGGGGAGGTGTCCTCAGCAACTATCTGGAAGCGGTCATAATGTACGACTCACGAAGGCGGAGTAAGTACATATGCTGCGTCTTATGTCGAAAGTCTGAGAAAGTTTCCAGCAAACACTTTCTCGAAAAATTGCAGGGTTTACGGTTCAAGTAGGATACAAGCTTTTCGAAAGAGAAGTGAATAGTGTGAAGCGCTAACAAATTATCACGAGTACCGAAGAAATGATAACGATTCGGCGCCGACAAGGAGGTATTTCTTGAAATACACCGTGCCACGCTGATATTTTATTGTCACTGTTTGTAACCCACTTCTTTGCAAATACTGTCTACTTTTAAAGGAGAATATACCATGGAAGATGGAAGCGGAAAGGACATCACCATGTCTAAAACTTTTTTTGCCAACTTATCAAAACCAAGGTAAGAGACTTTCATCTTGTTGTCAATGAACGCAACGTGATTATCGATCCACTGAATGACAGTTTTATACGACGCCAAAGAACTACTGAATTCAGTGTAAGCAACACACGCACGATGAAACATTGCTACGATCAGTCTTAGCAACTCCGACGTCAGTTATTTGACATGTTACAACATTGTAACATTCACGAGCATCTTGTCGTTCGCTAGCTCAACATTTGTTGCCAGTTTATATTCATTTGTGAAAATCTAACCTGGCATAGTTTAAATCAAACTTCATTTTCTCAACAGCTTAGCGACTTGAGCAAGAATCAGGAATTACAGAGGATGCTTGCCGATCTAGGGTATCAACTGAATCTGTAAACTTCAAGTGTAGGCCAACCACCTACGCTTCGCGCGTATATAGTTAAACTTTTAAAATACTTGTACTGCGGTAGAAACGAGACGGAACTGTATATATAATCAAACAGCCCAACGAATAGTAAATGATAAATGCGCTTCCAACACAAGCATTCTAAGAAAAACATCTCGTTTAATTAAATGCCATGTCATGTCTCGAAATGCTCAGAGCCACACGCGCGCGGTGCAGGAGATCCAAATTGGTTCTCTCCCTACCTTCGCTCCTCCCCTTCCTAAGGTGGACTGATTAACAAGCATTCTTTGTTCTTGAGTCAGATACCTCACGCTAGGAACAAGCCTCATGGAATTAAGTTTTTATAACAAGCCATTTTGCTCTTCAATGTTGGGAAATCTGTACTTAACGCATTTGGCTATTTGCTTAAATGTGTGCATTCTGTAAAGTTATCAAATCATAGAGCCGCTCTAAAACTGTCTAAACGACAATTTTGATTCTAAACTGCGATGCAAATAAACGAAGCGCGCATATCACGCAACATTGAGATCAGTCCACAAAGACTGGCTAAAAAAGATTCCAGAGTAAAATGTGGCGCTCACGAAGACTTTTGTCGTTTTATCCTGTTACACACGGCCACAGCTAGTAAAATTTATCAATCGAGTAAGCCATTCCATTTCTCATCGAAACTGACTGTAAAGATACTTCACAGAAATGCTACGAAATGCTAACTGAACGAAACGAGGCAGTCTAAATTCGGACAAAAACTATCATGAGAACTTAACACTTAAATCAGAAGAGACAGTGAATCAGAATTTCACGATCTACGTACTACCTTCCGTTTCAAGTACAACAACAGGCCTAGTCGAAACAATTAGATGGAACAAGACCGAGCTTAGAGCGCAGATTATTAAGCCATACATCAGTTTAGAAACAAATAAGAGGAAACGCACCTTCAATTGCGTCCATTTCTCCATAGCTCTTCTCTACTCAAACTGTATGTCCCAAACACAATATTTACGAACATTAAAATCTCTCTGAAACATTGTTTTTTCTACTGCGCAATAAACATCGCAGAACGACTGGAACTTTCCTTGCCTCTTAAATAGCCCCAGAAAATTTAAAGTGTGACGTTTACACTTTTATGAGAAGCTATTGGTCGCGCACTTTTATTTTGTTGGGACGCACATTCCCCAAAGCACCTAGGGCGAAACGTCATTGGAGGAGGTCAGGCCATAATTTGGCAGCTTGTCAATCAACGTCTTCATTCACGAACAATGATATGTCTTTCTTAGGCACTCGATTATTCTCGTGCTTGTGTGATCAATAAACAAAATTACACAATGGTGTTTCGATACAACACACTAGATGCTAGGAAAGCTGAGCGCTTAATCGTTACGAAGACTTTCCTTTACATAGAAACGTAATGAATCGATCAATGGAAGGAGTTCCAGAGGTTTCCTCGTACTTTTCTCCATAAAGCAAAATGGGCAACACATTCGTAAGAAGAAAGACAGAATCTACGAAACAGACACATCTACCTCACGTCTTTTGGAAGAATCGCGACAGAAAACGAATTCACACGTATTTCATTTGCTTATTTGTGTCATACTTGGAATGTCTTAATGCCTTGATGTTATAGCGTTCCTTTTCTTTAGCAGTGCATAACAACGTGGTAAGACACAACAAGCACAAATAAACAATCCAGATCAAAAAAAATAGTGACTCAACGTTCAGGTTCGAGGATAAAGCTCCTCAAGAACCATCTAAATTCAAACTATTTTAATATAATTAAAATTACAATCATAACAACTTATCAAATATTATGATAGATTCCCCAGTAAGACACTTGAAGCTTAAGTCCTGACCAGGCTCCTTGGACAAGACACCCTACCCTCTCCTCCCTGGTGTATAAATGGGAACTAGCAAATTTTGCCGTTTGGCGTTTGATCTAGCCATCTAACAGAATGCTAGAAGCTGTACTAGTGTGCTGTTTACCAGCATCCATCTCAGAGGAAGAACTCATATTGCTAGAGGTTTTATGGTATGAAAAAACATACTTTAAAACCACACACAAGTTTAGCTCGTTTTGTGAGTAATTTGCCCCAAAGACTGTTGGCTTCATTCGATATTCTCCAACAAATTGGCGTAAGTTATACTTGTGAACGTATAGCCATTAAATTGGCTACATTCAACATATAAGGGTTGTTTTTCCCTGACATTAGGCTGACTAAAAGATGGCCACAGATCCATTTTGATCACTCGGTGATCGAGTCCTCTAGAACATCCTAATGAAACAGTACAACCCCGAGCAGCCATAACGATTGCGACTAAATCATGTCTGTCTGCTTCATGTTCTCTAGAAGTTCAAAGCCAGCAGTTCAGCAAGGTAGATACGTCAAACTGTACAAACTCGACAAAGTTTGTCCTCTTGTAAAATGTCAAATAAACACCACACGAAAATATGGCGACAAAGATTCCATTAGAATATTCACACACTATTGTTTTATCCAAAGTTCAAAGCTAACGCCACCTTGTACAAGATAGTAAACAGTACGACCTGAAAAAACTGCTTTCAATAGCTTTCATTAGAATTTAATCCAGACTTGTTAAACCACCTTGTTCAGCATAATAAACAGAACCATAAGAAAGTATTCTTCGATAGCTTTCACATGAACGGTCACACAACGAAGTTTCGTCCACAGACTGAAAAGTTAGAACCACCTTGTACAGCATAATAAACAGTACCACGTGAAATTACTGCTGAATAGCTTTATTTTAATGGTCACACACTGGGGTTTCACCCAGATTCAAAAGTTCGAGCCGCCTTTAACGGTACCACATGAAAACATAGTTCCAAAGCTTTCATGTGAATGGTCACACAACAGTGCTTTCTCTACATCATAAAAAGTTAGAACCACCTTGTGTCGCATAATGAACAGTATCACAAGAAAGCACTACTCAATAGTTTTCGTTTGAATAGTCACACAACGGAGTTTCATCCACAGAATGAAAAGTTCGAACCACCTTGTGTCGCATAATGAACAGTATTACAAGAACGCACTACTCAATAGTTTTCATTTGAATAGTCACACAAAGGTGCTTTATCCACATCATGAAAATTTAGAACCACCTTGTGTCGCATAATGAACAGTATCACAAGAAAGCACTACTCAATAGCTTTCATTTGAATAGTCACACAAGGGAGTTTTATCCACAGAATGAAAAATTCGAACCACCTTGTACAGCATAATAAAGGGTACCACAAGAAAGGACTGCTCAATAGCTTTCATTTGAATGGTCACACAATAGGATCAGGCAGTTTTAGCCGCATCGTATGACTCGAGGTTTTACGTCAAAACCGGGGAAAGGGTTAATAGGCCTCCAAGAGCATACAAAACAAACAGAACTATTATTTTCTGGGGAAACAACCAGGGAAAAAACCCAACAACCCTGACAAAAGACAAAGAGTTTGTTATCGCTCTTCTTTGAAATGAAGAAGCAATATCTAGGGATTCCCCCATGACAAGGGGCTGTCACGATTGATTGAGTGAAGGCAAAACAGCAGTTAGCCAATAGAATGGTTGTAATAGCCACAGCTAAAACATAGATGGAAGTGCTTGCAGAAGTAAAATTCACCGCATACTTCTCCCGAAACGTAACGAACACACCGGTAAACAGAACAAGGCGTCACAAGGTTGCTCAGTTGAAATAAGCAGTCCAACTTGGTGAGTTAGCTTTTTCAAGTTGAAGAGAACATGGAAAATGCGACTGGTGACAAAGAAGCGGAGCTTTCAGGGAGCAGTGATGGACCAAAATCGTCACCCTATCAACGGATCGTTATCGCCTGCCCTGACAATCACATCATCGTTGTAAAGCGATTCACGAGCGGAGGTGAGAAGTTGTATTGCTGAGAGTATACGAAAACGTATGTCAA